CAGAAACACTCACAAACACACAGATGCAGAGGAGAGACAACCACAACAAGATTACATTTGTATAGCGCCTTTCACGTCGGGAGGACGTCCCAAGGTTCTGAAACACAGACACACTCACAAACAGCCACACACACATACAGAGAGAGAGAGACAGACATACACACACAGAAACACACACAGAGAGACACACTCACAGAGACACTCACAAGCACACACACACACACACAGACACACAGAGAATCTCAACAGCGGGGCCTCCGAGTGGGGAGCTGCACCGCGCATGTGCGTCCGGAACTGCTCCGTCCACAGTAACTCCCCCGCAGCACGACAGGCCCAAGCGCCAGAAACTTTTTTTTTAGCGGTTTTATAGCGGAGGGGGGTGTTTATAGCGGAGGGGGGTGTTTATAGCGGAGGGGGGTGTTTATAGCGGAGGGGGGTGTTTATAGCGGAGGGGGGTGTTTATAGCGGAGGGGGGTGTTTATAGCAGAGGGGGGTGTTCATAGCAGAGGGGGGTGTTCATAGCAGAGGGGGTGTTTATAGCGGACGGGGGTGTTTATAGCGGAGGGGGGTGTTTATAGCAGAGGGGGGGTTTATAGCGGAGGGTTTTTTTAGCGGAGGGGGGTGTTAATAGCAGATTCCGCGGAAAAACCACAGCCGCATTTTTTTTTGGCCCAGCACATGACCAATGGCCAACTTGAGACTGGTCCTGTAGGGTAATCAACACCTGTGGAACCACACCTCAACCAGATGAGCAGGGAACGATCTCGGTGCCAGAAGCAGAACAGCATATTCCAATGAGAAGAAAATTAGAAAAACAACTGACACGCAAAAACTCTGGGGAAAGAGCACAAGATGAAATTACAGTGGAGAGCTCCAGTGAGCATCAGCATAGGCTCAATAAACCATCCTGTGCTGCGGTTCGATTCTTTCCTATAATTCAGAGTCTCATGGGGAAAGAAACAGAGGAAATACTGAGGGCATTCGCGGTAAGTTTACACCTTTACAGTTATCAACTACCTATCAACTATTAGGGAGCTATTAATTACGCAGATTTATATTGCAAAAGCCTGAAAATTATCTTGGTATTGGGTACACCATTTTTAAATAATGATTAAAAATTAAAGAAAACAATATCTCCTCTTTTGCCCCTTTCAATCCTTCGAGGTCCTCAGTCTCTCCGCTGTATCCCAGGGGCTCAGAACCATAAAGGAAGTTCGCAATATAGTCAATCAAAATCTCACTCGCTTTCCTTCCTTGAGCAAGGCTTTAACACACGCGAGAACTTGCTGTACTTGAAGAGAAATAAGCATACCCGAGTGCCCTTTGCCCCTTCTCAACGAGATCCTTCAAGACAGTGTCCAAGCAAATGTTGACGTCCAACCACTACCCCTAACTATTGGGACTGATGCCCCTTGTACTTCCAATCAACAATCTCGGTATCTTCCCTTAGCCCTGCAGAGCCATGATTCCGCACTTGGGGGCACACACCACCATGTCCCACTAGTTGGCGCAGTGTTCAAGATGGCGAGTGCAGCAAATAAAGTCCCCAAAACAGAAGCACCGCAATCCTGTCAGAGAGGCCTGCAACAGACGCACCCAGTCCATCCACCTCAATGCCGTCCAACATGTCATTGTTGAATACATCGAATAGAGTTGGTGTCAATGGGCAGCCTTGCCTTACTCCCCTTTCACAAGGGATGGGATCAGTGAGCCTACTATCCACCCTTACCTTAAGCATGGTGACAGGTATCCTCATGTTGTCACCCAGTTGACCAACAAAAAAAGCTGAATGTTTCAACTCTTGAATTTGGCAGATCAAATTCAAGATTCTCTTCCGTACTCTTAAATGACTCCACTTTACCTCTGCCACCCTACTGCTCCGATCAGGATAATGCAGAGGTGCTTTAGTCGGCATTTAACCAATACCGTGGCTGCCCTGGGAATGTGGAAAGGGACAGTGTGGACAAAGATTTATAGTTTATTCCATGTCTAACTCAAACTGTAGCTATCCTGAGAGTCCTGGATGTGGCAGCATAGAGCAAGCTTTTATGTGTGTTTAACTTGAGCTATAACTGATCTGGGAGTGAACTAGACAATGAATATGCAATTCAGGAAAGTGTTCTCGTTCCCAAAACAATACCATTTGCAGCTTTAAAAAGAAACCCTTGGCTCAGCAACCTTAATAAAAGGAAAGGAGATCTAAGGGAATAAAATCGTCTTTTGAACATTCTGCTGATCCGCAGGGAACTGACAATCTCCAAAGTATCAGATGGAGCAGAAAAGCTGGGAAAAAGCAACGTATGGAGTTGGAGTAACCTAGATGACATGCAGTTTTACAGGCACTAAATTTAGTTAGTCGTCAAGTAATGGGTGAGAAGGCGATATACCAGCAATGGTTTTAAAGACACAGCATAAGAAAATGGATAGCAGTAGCAGGTTTCTAGCACTCACATCAGAAATTACTGGCAGAGTGCAGAAGAGGGTCAATGTCCAACCTCTTGGTTGGAGATTGATTAATGATACACAGAAATCCAACACACCGGAATCTAGAAGGAACATGTTCAGTTTCGTCCCCTCTCTGCAGCTTTGAAAACAAAGGGTGCTTTGCTGGGAGTGCAGTTTAATGCAACTTCTCTCAGGTTGTATATTCTTTGGTAAATGAAATGCTTTCGCAATGACAGGATACAGTTGGAAAAGCTTTGTAATATTCTTCCCCTTTTATTTAAGAAGTTAGACACTTGCATATTCTTCTTATTGTGATGCAATTAACATTGTACTTCTGATGGTCTTATCCATAGCCAGTGGCAAATGCTGCAAGACACTATCTTGAATTACCTCAAAGCAAGGTCTCTTTCTTTCCTTCTCCTGCCTTTTACTCACACACGCCCATGCACACACACACACAGACCCGCACGCGAACACACACGCACTCATTACCAAGTGAGTATTTACTCACTTTCACAGTTAAAGACAGCCATCTCACTAAGTGCAAATCCAAGATAGAAATTTGCAACATTCTCAGATGGCTTTGGTACCATTATTATTAAAAATTTGGCCAGGGGCAGGTATGAATTAGAAGAGAGAATGTTTAATACTTTAGAACATATTCTAACAACTCTTCAAACAATTTTGATCCAACAAGTCCATTTTACTGCAAGCCAAGTGCAGTACTTTTCTTCCCCATCTCCAAATTCTTCAACTTAATTCTCCTTTGTCATCCAACTTTTCACAGTAGATCAAAATGATCACATGCAGAAATATGAAACCTACTGTTGGATTCATTAACAAGCGAGAGGACCTGGGTTCAATTCCCGGGTAGGTCGAAACAGTAGGCAAGTTTCCTTACTCCACACGCCTCGGTTAACCTAGCAGTAAATAGGAACCCAGTTGTTAGTCGATTGACGAATTGCTTTTCCGAGGGGTGATAATCCCTTAAAAATTAATAATAAAATGATTTGGTCACTCAATCCACGACTGTTTCTAGGACACTGCTGTGAGCTATTCACTGCCGCGTTTTGTACTCTACAGTATATTCTGAGAAGTACTTTGAGACATTTTGAAGACAAGATAAGGTACTATAAGGATTATTATGATTATTATTATTCCAGGGAAAATACGATGTCCAACTACCCAACTGTATCCAGTTTAAAAATGCACTCAGCCATAACGGGCTTCACCCCTGGCACCTGCAAAACCCTGGCAGATTTAAAGATAAAGCTTTTCTTTCAGTTCCAAAGGAAAATAACTGACTGGATGATTGAAACGCACGAAGTTAAAGCGCTGATGTTTTTTAGCTCGAAAAACATAGTCATTCATTCTCCATTGGAATAGAAATCTTTGAGAGTTCATTATCAGAATGAGTCTAAAAGGGGCAAAGCATCTGTGGGATTCCAGGACATACTCAGAAATGACTTTCATCAAAACCTCACTGTAGAACTAACCCCTAAAATTCAAGCTTCATCATCTGCAATTGTAGTAGCACAAGCCAACCACTAATGGGATGCAGGGCCTTCAAGCTCACAAGAAAGCCCAAACTGCTATGGATTATAGAAGAAAACCCGATATCTGCATTAACTGTCCACAATGTGGATATGAAAACTATGCAGATACCAGGCCTGATGGCATCTGTATGTGTTTGTCTTACTCTCTCTATGTATGTATCTATATCAATACGTATGGACAGATCTGGATCAGATCGCCACTTTGCACTGCTCGAGTAAAATCATGAACCTGGGTACAATGCAACCATAGACCAAAGAATAAATTTTCACCGACATCTCAGCCTGACTTAACTTCCGTATCTGCACCCGGATGAGGAAGGCAACATTCTTATATAATGCAGATTCACAGCGATCTGCCACATTTGGAAGGAAGCTTTTTGGGGGTCAGCTGGGTATCTGACATGCAGAAACCATACCGTGTTTCAACGTATCCAAACCAGACAGAGTGCATATTTCAAGAAATATCCTCATGTCTGGAATGAAATGTGCACTCTTCGTCTGGAGGGACAAACAATCTCGAGGACTGCCTGGCAAACATCCCAGCTACGTGTCCAGCTAGGTGCACCCTGCCCATTAGGTCTTGGGCTTACAGGGTTAAATAGGACCCGAGCGATGAATCACTTTCCCCATTGACAGGTCTCAAAATCCTGCTATTAAGCCAGGCTGGCTGGTCTGTCATCAGAGATGCTTTGGAATCTAATGCGTCCACCTGTCTCAGAAAACAGTCCAGATCACAATAGAGGGTCAACTCAGTTCCCCATATCGCATTGTCAAGTAAGTCACCTTGTGCCAGCTCAGCCCCAAAGAACCCCACCTGACCCCCCACCTAAGAGATGTCATCGTTGGTCATCACTAAACGTAGGAAGAGGGGGACAATGCAGATACCTACAAACTGTATAAACAAAACTAATTTCCTAACTGAATTAATGCTAACATTAAAGCAGAAACATTATGACCAGGAACAAGTAGACACATTAACCAGTCTGTACAGTTACTTACTGAAGTCTCCAACGAGAAACACAGCCTCTGCGCCCGGTGCCCATTCCTTGCAATAAATAGTATTGCCTTGAGAGTGGATCCCAAATGTCTCATAAGCCTTTGAAAACTGGTCCAGACTTCCTTCATTCTCCTCAATACTCTTCAGCAATGTATGGAACTTTTTGTACCTTTAAGAATAAAAACAAGGGAAAAGGGAGCTTTGAGAAAGTATGCACAAATACAGTGGAGCTGAAATTTAGATTGGCTTTTGGCTTAAAAAAACTGTAAAAGATGAGGAGTGTTTTATTTACTGAATTGCAGGTTTCATCATCGAAAACGCAATTAGACATGTGTAACATAGGGCCAATCAAGTTTGCAAGTCTTATGAGAATAATTAACTTGCATTGTTAAATTGCCAACAGCATCAAAACATATCAAAATGCGTTAGTCATGAATGTCACATGTATTGACGTTTTATAGGCAAATTCCCACAAACACTCATGAGATGAATGATTTGAAGGATTGTCGACCCGGAATCCTTGAGTGGAGTCCTGTAGCTTAGTGGTTAGAGTACTCACCTCGCAAGCGAGAGGACTTGGGTTTGAATCCCGGGCAGGGCAAAACATTGGGCAAGTTTCCTTACTCCACATGCGTCTGTCCAGCGCTTTGGGACGTCCTCTCAACTTGATATGTGTTACACAAATGTAACTTTATATATTTGTACTGTATTGTTTACTTAGCAGAAGTAGGAACCCATTTGTGATTCGATTGGTGGATCACTTTTCCGAGGGTAATAATACCTTCAAAATATAAAAATTTGGTCACTCAATCCATAACTGCGTGTGGGACACTGCTGTGCGCAATTGGCTGCCGTGTTTCGCCCACAAAATATACAGTCAATTCACTTTGCAGTATATCCTGTGAAAAACTTTGAGACGTCTCGAAGATGTGATAAGGCGCTATATCAAATGTAAGGATTATTATTACTGTTATTATAAACTCCCCTCTCTTAGCCAATAACCAGGGTCACACTTCAGTGCAGGACTGAGAGAATGCTGCCGTGTTCGCTGAATTGAAGTGTTAGCCTGGACTATAAAGTCAAGTCCATTGGGCTTAAACCCACAAAGTCTGATCCTCTGCATGTTCTTCTTCAGTAACATACACTTCTTTCACATCTTAAGAAATATATAGGACTTGTGGTGTCCTGTAGCTCAGTGGTTAGAGCACTCGCCTTGCAAGCGAGACACTCGGGTTCAATTCCAGGTAGAGGGCGAAACCTTGGGCAAGTTTCCTTACTCCACACAGAGCCTAATAATAATCCCTCCAAAACCAAAAACAATAATAAATTGGTCATTTTCAATCCACAACTGTTTGTGGGACATTGCTGTGCGTAATTGGCTGCCGCGTTTTGCCCACAACTATACAGTCAATTCACTTTACAGCATATTCTGTGAAGCGCTTTGAGACATCTATAAGACATGAAAAGCGCGGTCTCAAATGCAAGGATTATTATTATTATCATTAAATGCAGCCTATTTCCCTCTCTTGCCTTACACACACCACACACACAGGAAGCATTTATTCAACCTGACAAAGAGACATCTAATGTAAAATAAAGCCCACCAGTCAGGGATTGAACTCGATCTCACCCACTGTCATTCCTTCTATCATGAGTCTGAGTGTGAGCACTGGATTGTTCCAAGTACCCTCATTCCTTAGGTTTGCTTCCTGCACTCCCCTTAACTCCACATCACCAAACTTCCCCGGCATACAGCAGATTTTGATTCCTTATTGGCTTCAATTATCCCTGGCAAAATTTTCATTCCCCCAGCAAAATTAATCAGAATCAAGAGTGAGACTGATGACAGCAGTGGGAAAATAAAGATTGAATGCTGGGACGCTGACCCTCATCGGAGATTGCAATGTTGACGCGAAAGGCGCTATACAAATGTAATCTTGTTGTTGTTACCGTATGAAACTGCATGGAATCCCCTCATATCTCACCCGCGAGTTGCTGTAATATTACATTCAAAGCCCTGGTTTCACAGCAGTTTCTTATCCTCAGCTTTCACTTCACCTCCTCCTGCTCTATCTCCTCGGACTTCTCCTCTCTCCTTTCTTTTCACAACCTCTCCCTCCACATCCGCTCTGCTAACCCCTCTGGCCTACCTTCCGCACTGATTTATCCTCCTCGCTCACTCTCCTGCACAACTCCCTCTCCACCGCTCTTGATGTCTTTACACCCCTCACCTCCCGAACCACCTCCTAACTCACGAAGCTCACCCCGGTACACCAGCCACCTCCGCTCCACCAAGGATCAGGTGCGGGCTGCCAAACGCACCTGGCTCAAGTCTGATCTCACGGTCCACCAGCAGACCTGGCTAGATCACATCAAAACATACCGCTCCGCCCTCGCCTCCACCAAATCGTCCTTCTACTCCAAGATAATCTTGGAGGCGAAGCACACACCAGGCTCCTGTTCTCCACCACCAACTGTCTCCTCTGTCCACCCTCCCATTCTCTCCTCAAGCTCTGACTGTGAGGAGATGCTGGATTTCCTCGAGTCCAAAATCGAGGGGTTCCGTTCAGCTGCCTCGGCCCTCCAAATCGCCACTCCCTCCCTTTCTCCCCCCGTCACTCCGACCCCTACCCATCCCTCCCTCCACATTTTCGAACCTGTCTCCCCCTCCACTCTCATCACCATCATATCCAACATGAAGCACACCACCTGCTCCCTTGACCCCATCCCCACCCTTCTCCTTAACTCCCAGTTCCACCTCATCGCCCCTCAACTCTCCGAAACCGTCAATCTCTCCCTATTATCTGGCACCGTTCCCATCCACCTAAAAACAGCTATAATCACGCGCATCCTAAAAAAACCTTCCCAGGACCCATCCCTGCTTTCTAACTACCGGCCCATCTCCAACCTCTCTTTTCCTTCCAAGGTCCTTGAAAGCGTCGTTGCTTCCCAGATTCGCTCATTTCTCTCTTACTACTCCCTTCACGAGCCCCTGAATCGGGTTTCCGTGTTGCTCACAGCATGGAAACTGCTCTGGTCAAGATGACAAACAACATCCTGTCCATCTGTGACCGAGGCTCACTCTGCCTCCTTGTCCTCTTGCTGCCTTCGATACTGTGGATCACTCCATCCTCCTCCACCGCCTCTCCCCACACACACACAACAACAACAACAAAATTACATTTGTATAGCGCCTTTCATGTCGGAAGGACGTCACACAGTACTGCCCTCATAGAGCCCCTCTCACACACACACACACACAAAGCCTCACAGAGTCACACAAACACACAGTAAGCCTCACACACAAGAATACATTTGTATACCGCCTTTCACGTCGGGAGGATGTCCCACACAGCAAGCCTCAAAGAGTCACACACACACATAAAGCCTCTCAGAGCCACATACACAGAGTGCAACCCTCTCAGAGCCCCTTCACACAGCGCTGCCCTCACAGAACCTCTCACACACACACACACATTCAGAGCTCTCTTCCAGCCCCCGCAGTCATGTGCGGTGTTCCTCGGGGCTCTGTCCTCTGTCCCCTCATCTTCTACCTTTATATGTTCCCACTTGGTCACGTCATCCGCAGACATGGAGTCAACTTCCACATGAATGCGGATGACACCCATCTCTCTGCCTCCACCCTCGATTCCAAGACAACTGATGTCCTGACAGACTGTCTGTCTGACATCAAGTCCTGGATGAGAGCCAACTTTCTACAACTGAATGTCAGCGAGACTGAGGCCCTCCTGATTGGCGTGTGCCAGTGCCTCTGCACCTCAGGCACTTGCAGCATCAGCATCCACACGATACACACTCCACCTCACCAAACCAATCTGGAACCTGGGGTCTTGTTCAACTCTCAACGTCATTTCTCCCCCATATCCGTGCCATGACCCGGTCTGCCTTCCCCCACCTCTGCAACATTGCCCGACTCCGCCACTGTCTCACCCCTCAAGCCGCCGAAACACTCATACGTGCATTCGTCACCTCAAGGCTCGACAACGGAAACTCACTCCTTGTCGGCCTCCCCAACTCTTCCCTCCATATGGTGCAAATCATCCAGAACTCTGCAGCGCGTATCCTCTCCCGCATCAGGCTCCGTGAATCCATCACCACCACCCTCGCCCGGCTCCACTGGCTCCCCATCCCTCAGAGGATAGAATTCAAAATCCTCGTCCTCACCTTCAAGGCCCTCCATGGCCTTGTCCCCTCCTACATCTCGGACCTGCTGACCCCTTATCAACCTGTCCGCGCTCTCCGCTCAGCAGGCTCCGGTCTGCTCCATGTCTCCCGCCTGACCCCCCCCCCTACCATCGGCAGCCAGGCTTTCAGCCGCTTTGCCCCCACCCTTTGGGACTTCATCCCACAATCCCTTCACCTTTCTCCCTCCCTTGCCTCCTTCAAGCCACGACTCAAGATCCTCCTTTTCGACCGTGACTTCAGCCGCCCTCCTACCTCTCTGCCCTCCCTCACCCCAATCCTGCCCCCCACGCTCGGGTCCTGATCCCCGACTGTTCAGTGGAGTCTCGTAGCATAGTGGTTAGACGCTTGTCTCTCAAGCGAAACTATCCGGGTTCGATTCCCGGGTGGGACGAAACCTTAGGCAAGTTTCCTTACTCCACACGCTTCGGTTTATCTAGCAGAGAGTGGGAACCCAGAAGTTCGTCAATTGGTGGATCGCTTTCCAGGGTAATAATCCATAAAAAAAGGTCACTTAATCCACGAATGTTTGTGGGACACTGCTGTATGCAATTGGCTGCCACATTTTACCCACAAAGTACAGTCAATTCACTTTACAATATATTCTGTGAAGCACTTTGAGGTGTCTCATCAGCATTTTAGGTGCTATATCAAATGCAAGGATTATTTATAATTAAAAGATTGCTCTTTAAAAGAGCCATCACAGTGGATTGAATGGCCTTCAGTACTGTAAATTTCTATGGTTCTTTAACCTGAATCTGAACAATATGTTCAGCAGAGTTACAAACTCAAAAACAAGGAGGCATAAAGTCAAGCTTAGAAAACGCAAAAAGAAGAAACAGTTCAATCCAATTGCAGTATACAGAGTGTAATAGACTGTAAATTGAAGAGGAAATAAGACAATTATTTGGAGAGAATCGATTGAGTTATGCGATCTCCTTTTTTAACTGAAGGATCATTTTAACT